ATCTGGACTCATTAATATTCTATGCAGATGTCGGAACAATCAATTGCACTATTATTGCTATTACTAATAATTCATGGTTTTAAAACCATTATAACCAGTCACTTATTCAGTACCGTTTATCATCCATTTATCTGACCCGGATTTTCCTAAAATATTATTGAATTGATTAACAAACCGCTGACCCAGATGGTTGAATTATTAAATCTTTAATAATGTCACAAATTGATTCATTGGACTGAACGATCAAACCAGTATCCCAAAAACTGGAAGCAAAACTGGTTCTGATTCTGGATCGGTTTTAGTAAACTGATATTATTTTTCATATCTCCAATGTCCTATGTACAATGTGACCCAACGTAATTGGGCACTAATGTGACCTCTGTTGCTTAGAACAAGTCTTTGCCATGTCTCCAAGAGTTGTCACTTGATATGGATAAGACTTGGCTAGCTAGGTAGTAATTCACAAAGTGGGGGCATTTGTATTCAATTCAGTAGGCTGATTGAACCTATGCAACTAGTGAGTAGTGGCACAAGGGATTATTTGAATGTTGAAGAGGGGTGATACTGACGGATAAGAAGAATAGTTTCAGCCTTTCAGGTGTCAAGTTGAACATGGTCTTGTCCCTTTACTTAGGCATGCATATTGGAAACAAAATACCCACAGAAGTCCTTTCACTGAAGTCTTCAGAATTTTCACACAATTACTGGTCAGAATTTTATATGGTCCAATCCGATCCAGTCCAATGTAAGTCCATTATAAATGATTAGGTCTAATCCAATCCAATGAATATTTTGGACTAATTCGGACCGTCTAATTTGTTCAACTTCGTTTTGATTTTAGATTGGTTTCAACCTAAACCCGGTCTCTTGACACCTATATTCTTATCTTATATCAATAGGCTAGATATTGACTTAATCCAACCCAATCTAATATAAATTTATTATGGACAGACCAGGTCCAATCCAATCTAATAAATATTTTGGACCGGATTGATCCAATCCAATGTATCTTGTTGGTCCGTCCAATCCATCTAAATTAATTTTGAATTGGACAGGATCCAATTCAAAACCGGTCTATTGGCACCCTTGTAAATATCGCCATCTTTGGGAAGAGTATATATTAAGCATTGAACATGCATATCCATCTCTGAAAAGGGTACTAAGAATTAAACATGGCCACATGTCCTAAAGGACCTAAACCCTAGTATTTAGTGTTTTGGTGACCTTGAAAACCGACACCAAAGTATCAATACGCACGTATGGAACTATTCAAATAAGAGAGGATACTCATGGATAAAAATTGTTCCAAGTGTCAAAATTTGAAGTTTTGAACATGGCCATCTCTGGAAAGGGTATTAAACATTGAACGTGGGCACATGTCCTAAATCCTAAAAGTATTACTTTTAGCCTTTTGGTCTTGTTTCTATTCTTTGACATATTGGAAAAAAAATACCCACACATAGCCTGATTATATGGGGTTAGTTATATGTATCATCTTTTGGTCATTCCATTCTGTTTAGTATCATATCTATAACTAAAATTTAAAATTTATATTAAAATTAAATAAAAATTTATTCGATACAATGTTAGTAAATATTTTGATTTAGTTTCTATAAATTGTATGGAAGTAAGACAAGTATCTGCATTATATAATATAAATAAAAGAAAGCGTTAATCATATTCTCACAGGATTAGAGATCTACCATACTAATTAGGATCAATATTCGGTAATAACCTTTTCTTTCTAAAAAAATAAAAGAGATATCAATATGGGATATTGGGTAATGACCTTTTTCATATACAGTTCTTATTGTTTATGAAATTATATATAAATAAAATTCTTCGATTAATGGATTACAATATATCATTCATGGAATGGTAAACCATATGCATTTAAGGATTTAAACAGCTAGTCAAAATAGACCAGTTTATGTGGGTCCAAAAAAAAGCAAAAGAGCATCATTCAATCACCCGCCAACTGTTCATATCCCTAGACTTGTTCATTTGATGTGAAAACCATCTGTTTGACGAACTTGATGTTGTAATAAATCTTAGGGTCTACACCGGGACCCTGGATGAATTTGGGGTTCGAAAGAGAGAAACTTTAAATGAGGCACAGACTGCAAAAGTGGCTGGTTGTTTAATTATTTATTGTTAATTTGATATTAGCTTTGAAAACTGGAAAATGACATTGCTCAGGAATCATGCACACGTCAACAACTGGGAAATTAATGGAAGCTTCAGATTAGTGGAAAATCCCCATTATGTGACATCTGATAAGTACCTAATCTAAGTCGACTACTTATTTGAATCCATTACTAGTTCTTCATTCATGGTAGATCATCTAATCTATATTATCTTTTTAATGGGATTCCTTAGGGCTGTTCACAAATAAATTCAAACAGATTAAATCGACCAATTCGGCCCTATCCAATCTGAATTAGCCATTTTTTTTTTACTATCGGTTAGTTTTGGGTTGCAAAATGAATAAACTAATAATTCGGTTCGGTTTCGGTTTTTAAAAATATATATATTCTGAAAAAATGTCTGTTAAATATAAATATTTTAGTTTTAAATAATAAATATATATCTGAAAAAATATATATCCTGACATATATCAGATATATATTTCCAGAAATTAGAAAATATATATTTCAATATATTTGTATATATGTTTTGGTTTTAAATATATATTTCCAAAAAAAATATTCTAAAATATTATATATAATATAAACACTTTGACTTCATGTGCATTGTGCAAGCTTGGAGTCGATTGAAACCCAAACCGATCAGGTCGATTTACTTAATAGAGGGTCGGTTTCGGTTTGGTCTATAAGTAACCTGATCAGGTCAAGTCGATTGAAAAAACACTACTAAACCAACCCAACCCGACCTGTGAACAACCCTAGAATTCCTTATCACCATTTACGATTAGGTAAACTTGTATTGTTTTGGGTTGATTAATATAAATTGACATACAACTACAGTTGTTTATATTTGAAACATGCACACTTAGGTTGTGTTTAGTTTGAAGGGAAAAATAGGAAAAGGTAGGGAAACCTTTGCAAACTTTGTGTGGGCTTTCTTACCTTTTCCTTCAAACTAAACATAACCTGATGTATGTGTTAGAAGTTGTTTGTAGAAATGTCAAATTGATGTTCCCAAGACGAAGATGTAAAGTCTAATCATTTACTCATTTTAGAGGAAAGTGACTCATCTGATGTGACAATACATATCTCTCACCAATTTGTATTGATCAAATTAAAATGTTTTAAGTAAAAACAACAATGCTACCAAATACAACCTTAATCATTAAGTCATTACAAATTACTCATGTCATGTAACAATACATATCCCTCACCAATTTATTTTGATGAATCTAAAACATTTCAAACTAGAAACAACAATGGTACCAAAATTTTGAACCCTAACATGATACAACATTACTGTATTGATTTTGCAAACATAATAGGTGCAACATTACAGAATTCATCTTGTAGCGTTTATAGACTGAAAAAAAAATGTCAACGATAACTTATAGCTTTAAAAACGTCTGGTTCAAATAGTAAATATCCTTTGTTAGCATAATATAGATATAGGTACTGATTTTTGAGTTTGATAAGGACTCTTAACATGAGAAACGTTGGGTCAACCCTCCCCAGCTTTACTTGTTGAACAGAGTACTCGGGGAACTCACTTCATTCTGTGCACTTTTATTTCAACCTACCAAACAGGTAACCAACGCTTGCCTACCACATGTCTTGTTTTGGGTGGTGGCAAACTCTACAACTACTACCCCGTTGTAGGCCATTTAATGATTAGCAAGTAAATTCCACAAACGCATGAGGTTGAATAGAAATTTAGTTAGATTTTGATCAGTAAAATTGGGTTTTGAAATCAGTTTGGGTCCAAACCAGGGTCCACTTTTAGGGTTTGTCTTCGGTTAGCCCTTAACCCGACCCTACTCATTTTATTTATACAAATATGCCCCTACTTTATTAAGAAAGTCAAGAGGAGCCGAGAGATATTTAAGATGAATTAAGGGATTTAAATGGGGGAGGAGAGATGTTCCAAACATTAACTATTGGGGAGACTGGGGCAGAGAAACATTTAAGAAATATGTTATTAAAGAGAGTAATGATGGAATTTATTAAAGGGAACTTAAAACCCAAGAGGGTTTTTATTGTGACTTTACATTTTTATAATTTAATTTAAAAATAGAAACCACAGGTGAAAAAAGTATCATAACTCATAAGGGGATTTTAAAAAGCCGGGCCAGCCCAGTAGTCTCTTTTGTCACAGGACATCAGTGGGCTCGGCCCAGTTAGTCTTTAGGGCATAGCGGGTTCAGCTTGGGCTTAGCTCTGGGCCTTTCTATGTATATGGTCCAGTTTTGGGCCTGAGAAACTTGATTACTGAACTGCATAAGCAGAGCTCATCCAATTTGAGTGTCCAAACACTCAAACATTCATTTGGTAAAGCACTATAGCTAGTTTATACAGTATCTCATCTTTGAACTTAAAATATGGTGCTCTAGAATCAATTAAGGCTAAATGTTTAAAGCATCAGCTGGACAACAAAAATTATTTGTTTAATCTTCTTAGTACATTAATCACTTATCTCACAGGCCCATCTCCTTGCTACAGGATCACCTTAATTGTTTTAATACTAAATTCCAAAGGCAGAATAAATGGTTGTTTTTCCTAATCATTGAGTTTTTTTTTTTTTTTTAACAAATTGGTTTTCTCACAAGCTTCATTAGTAGAATTAGCGTTCAGTTGGAATTTCTGAATGTATAGTTCATTTTGCCTTCTATCTTTGAACAATAGATTTTTATCAACTAGATGTTTTAACTTGTCAAAATTCTGTCTTTGCAGATAATGCCCGTAATGATGCGGAGCATGCAATTCTTCTTTGTTAATCCTCTTTGCACACCCAAATGTTCTAAATTTTAATTCATCAATGATCAACCATATCAAATTATCAATTATATCAGTGAGTGAACAATGCGATCTCTAGAATTCGTATATTTCATAGGAAAATGATTGATCAATGACATGATACAAAATACAAAAATATTACATGAAACAATCTGATACAGGAAAATTTGAGAAAAAGAGAAGTGAAGATGGAAAAAGGTATGTTTTTAATTACTTTGACATGGGTTCTGGTGCAGTTCAAATGTTCACTAGATGTGAAAAACCCTGGGATCACATGGAATGGTTCTAATCAAAGTGCTCGAGCTATATTTTTAAACTCATGCAAGCAATACCGCAATATCTTCTGGCGCTTATGGAGGGACTGCCGCTCGTTCTGAAGGATGTCAATTGCACCAGGTGCCACAAACATGTCCATGAATTTCTCATCATTCACAGCGAACAAATCTAAACCAATAGCCACCACAAGCCTGTCTCGACTGTTTCACCATGATTAAAAAAAAAGAAAAAACAAAGCAATAAAAAAAAATCACTAGATTTGTCAGAACAACCTATCATCATTAACCCCTTACCTATTATGAATACAATATAATAATTTAGGACTATAAGGAAAATTATGCATTGGAGTGCATGCAAGATTACAATTGGAACTGGATTCTGGTGTTTTACTTTTACATAGTGCAAATGAGTGAGCAGTTGCATATCAAGTGTGCACATGAACACGTTTATGCTTTCTCATGTTGTCTGATCATTAATTGTTTAATTTGTTTGCAAGAAAAGCTTACCAAGGAGTTAAAAATCCGGAGTTCAAAGTTGATGTGACACTTCGCTCAATGAGCACTTCGCGTATCCTTGCAAAATGCTGTGCAGCTGAAGAGCAAACATCTGAGTAAGCTGAGCCTGGTTTTGAACCAATATCGCCATTGCCAAATAGAAGCGTACTACCATTTTGGATTTGGTGATGATCCAAATTTCTGCTGTTGGCTATCATCCTTGGGTACCTTTTCCTCCCTCCAACTTCAATGCCATTCCCAGGGTCTTTCTTCTTAGCCCCTGCATGAATTATATCACATGGCTGATCAGGGGATGGAGTCTCAGGTACAGTCATTTGGCTTTCACGGAGAACATCTCTGGCTTCTGCATTTTTCCCTGGTGTTGTTTGCTGCACATTCTTTTCAGGAGGTATATTTTCCTGATCCCTTCCCAAAGCTTCATCTTGGAATGGTAGCCCACCATCAGAGAGGTCAAGACAAAATGGAGCCAGTGGAATTTGGTTGAATCTGCCGATTGAAATTGTGCCTAAGCCAGAACCTCCAAAGAAGTCATTTTCATGGAAAACCTGAGAATATGGGCTAGTTACTGAATCAAGGTGGTGGCGGACTAGTTGCTTGCATTGTTTTGCTAGATCCCTTATAAAGCGATTGTAAGAATGCCTCAAAGCAGCATGAAAACCAACATATCCATCTATATCTCCATTCTTCTTCCCATCTGCTCTCATGAAAGATGACCATCGACAGAATCAACTATTTGTCAGAAACAAATTATGATCTTAAAATAAAATATTGCAAAAAGGCATTTGTATGAGATATCACAGGACTGTTAATAAGATTGCAGTAAACATTTTCTCACAGATCTCGTCACTAATATTTTTTCTAAATTCTAATAGAAGGAAATGTTGCAAAAATTATCTAATAAAATTTGAACATGGCATCAGAAATCATTGATGCAGTGATGCCTCAAATTTGAGCATTTTAATAAGAGTATGTAAGATTGTATAAGTTTCTTGGCACATACATTAAGGGAAAAACAGTACTAGCATTGATGACTGACTAATGCGGACAGAGTGCTGGTGATGCAAGAACAAAATGGTTGATACATTACTTATATGTTACCTGATAAAAGTTAAGGGTCACATACATTAACAAATATCCCGTTTTCTAAGATATAGTAAGCTTGAATTGTTATAGCCTGAAATACAACAGTGAAATAGAATATCTAGTTTACAGATAATTATGTTCTACTTGACTCCAGATCTGCTACAAACAAGGCATGTACAATGGGTTATGTAACCCAATCAAGAGTGAACACGCCAATGATCCATATAACTGGTACCTGTACAAATGACTAGCATGTTCACTCTTCATTGGGTTACATAGCTGCTGTACACATCTTGTTTGTAGCAGATCCTTCCCCATTCAAAGGAGAAATAATTTGTACCTTGATATTTTTAATGGAAGATTAGTAAGGCAAGATTGGTTTCAGAAATGTCTAGCACTAGTAAAGATGGAAGAAATCAACTCTGAGATTAATTAGTGGAAAAGAATCATGCAATCTTGGAATTTAACCAAATTATTCTTCTCCTTAATCCATAATTCCATATCATACTTGCTCCCAATGATTATATATAACTGAAGGAACTTTCTACCAAATAACTTTAAGGAAAAACAATGAATCAATAAGGTCTGTTCACCCACATAACAGTGAAGACAATTGAGAAGAAAGTGGTTAGCTATTCATGAAATAAACTGTAAATGTTGGATAACAAAGAATCAAAGCAATGAAATGATTCTAAGCTTTAATTGTCTCAGATAGATATAAATCACTAATGCAGAAGGTCAAATATAATAATTATATAGCTGAGTGATTCTTGGTTGCATAGTTGAGTGGATACAGAGCAGTACCATGGTTAGCAAATAAAAATGATATAGGTAAAATAGCTACGAATAATGAGAACAACATGTGAGGTGTAAAGATTTAAATAGCTTACAATCAGAGGAGTTGTGACTGTGGTTACGTTCGATGGCAAGTTCAAAGAGGTTTCCCAAAACAAATGCAAGCCGATCACATGCAGTGTCCAGAAGTGGAGCAAGCCATGATCGAGCAGATGCACGTGCAATCTCTGCAGCTGCCTCTGATATTCCTCCACCCCCACCTCGCCTAGCATGGGAAAGTAGTATATTTGCAACCTGTGATACAAAAAGTAAAACTGTAGTCTTTAAAAATGAAAACCAAATTATTATAATTTTCAGTTCTGAAGGATAGTTAAATATAGAGAAGATTTTACCTTCTCCCTTGAGACTGGTGGGCATTCGATTGAATATGTAGCACAACGAAATTCATGCATTACCCTCTCAAAAGCGGCTCCTCCATAAAGCCTTAGGGTAGCATTAGGAGGCTTTATGTCTGTAGTAACCCCAGGCCAGCTCCCAACACCACTCTCTGATTGTTCCTCTTCTGTTGTTTTCCCCCATTGTTCTGGGGCAGGATCTGCTGCTCCATCAATCAATGCCCCCTTCAACCAATGAAAGAGAAGGTCCCATGTTTTACCAAGATAAATTCACCTCATGGAAATGCTCTTTAAAGACATAAAACAAATGATGATAGATAAGATTGTGAATCATATAACATACCATATGATTGCAAATAGAAGCGGCATGCAACATTGCAGATTTCCGAAGACAAGCAACATCAGATGTGGCTTGTATCTTGGAATCCATTCTGGCCAATTCAGCAGTGACTTCACTGCAGCGTTCTTCTAGCAAAGCAAGAGTTGCAGGTGCAGCTTCTTTATACCTCTTCTGAAGCTCAGACTCTAAGTACTCCTTCAGACAACTAAAACCAATGTAAGGTTTGAACTTTTCCTCATCAAATCCTCCATTGACACCCTCCTGCAGATGGTGGAGAACTTCTATGTCCACCTGAGATATTTGCCTGCGAAATTCCTCATTTGACACAGTACCCCTGTCCTTTGGCAAGGCCACAAAGAATGGATGAATGTTCTCCCCAAGGTAACCACTTGCACTTAGGTACCGATCCACTTCCCAACGGTCACTGAACTCCTGCATGGATTGATTTTCATAAAACATAATTAAACGTATTAGACCAATCTCTACTCCATATTAACCCAAATGTGATTCTACCAAAGGCAAAGGAGTTCTGTGATATCTCTATACCTTGAGTCTGTTATCAAACTTGGAGACAACAATAATCGTCCGTCTGAAGGTTGGATCAATTTCACGAATGCAATCCAACCAAAGCGATGAGCACCATTCAACACTACTTTGCTGAAGGAAGAGAAGAAGACGATGTGGAGGACTTGCTAACGACTTCACCATTGAAAGGATGTCATCAGGTGTATTCTCTGGTTCACCTTTCTTCGCCTGCAAATAAAATTATACTAGCCCACTAAGAATAAAAAATAATGGGAAATTCAAGTTGCAAAACATCCTCTAACATCCAGATTTTGAGGTAGAGTGACCTTAAGAACAAAGCCGGGAGTGTCAATTATGGTGAGATTAGGACAATGAGCATATTCTGCTCTCATAACAATTGGCTTTGAAGAAACTGCAGTTTTGGTCTTCTTCAGAAGTGCCTCAGTTCGGGACTTGATTAGATCTGCAATTGCAGATGCTGAAACAATAGGAGCTCCATATTCTTCAGAATCCTCATCCTGCATTCATTAGTCAAGGTTCAATTTTCTGGATGAGTAATGATGGAGAGTAACACAGTAACAACTTGAAACTTGAAGGATAAGTTTGAAGAAAATAAAACGAGTCTAGTAGGAGGAATTAATTATTAGGCTATGAATAAAGGGGCAATTTTCAATTAAACGGACCACTTATACATAGCAGAGTGAGAGACTCTAATAAGATGAGAAACAGAACAGTATCACTGATTTAAGAAATGAAGTGAAAATTAGATTAAACAAACCACCCAATCAAAAAATTTGAAGTGAAAATTGAATTAAACAAACCACCCAATCACTCATACATATCAGAGTGGTAGACTCTAACTAGATTATAGTAGCATAATACATAATTGCCAAGTACTGAAACCTATGATCCAGAAGTGCCTAAATCCTATCACATATTACAAACTATGTATATAGAAAGGAAAGATAGCCAACCTATTTTATGAATATCCTTTGAAAAGCAGCATTAAATAAATAACCAAAATTTGGGTTGGCATAAGATTCTTGATCGTGATTAGAAGAAAATCCATAATTCTACGATAGCATAAACATCCACCAAATGATGAATCAAAGAGAGGCTACAAGAAAATAGCTTAAATTCCAACATTGATAAGGTCGAGAACTCCAAATATTAGACTTCCAATTCCAAAATCAAACTTATCAGGGTTCATAAAAGATTAACCATCAAATGAAGCACTTGACGCTGGAATTTCCTACCAACAAAACCATCAAATTCAGAAGTAACGCTTGAAAACAAAAATTGTAGCATCATCAATACAAAAGAAAAAGGGAAAAAAGATGAGAAAACGCAAATCATAAAGCGCAACACCAGTATGAACAAAATATTAGAGTATCAATGTTCGTGGCGTCATTAACGCAAAATCAACATTTGCAAAATCCGAAGAAATTGAGAAGAGGACAATATCTAATAAATATAAAGAGAATGGAGCAACGAAACCCTAAAAACTTGAAATCAATTAAAATGAGATGGCAGAACCTGAAACCGGCAACGGGGCTCCAGTGCTGATGAATCGTGGACCATCTGAAGAATAAGAGGCCTACGGGTGCCCATTTCCACCTCCCGAACATTGAATCGGAATCCTAGGAAGGCTTCAAGAAGGGAGCTCTTGCCATCGGACTGACCTCCGAGAGCGACAATCTCTGGTATCGGAAGCTTCTCTCCGAAAGCAACCGCAGCTGCCTGCAAGCGATTATATGCTTCGAATCGAGACTTGAGTTCAGATGTAGGAGGATTCAACGAAGAATCCATGGAGCTCGGTTCTTGATGCATTCTGGAATTCGAGGAAGAGAAGGATTTCGGATTTGGGGTTCTGGTGGATGTGGTGACTGGTGAGGAAGGGGTGTGTGCTTCCTATTGAGAGTTTGAGACACGCAGTCACACTCACACTCACACACACACGAAGAGAGAGAGAGAGAGAGAGAGAGAGAGAGAATTCAAATTCGAATTTGAGCAAGGAATCCGTTGGAGAATGGGAGCGGGAGGAAGGAATGAGAATATGAGATCAACGAGAAGGCCTGAGTGCTAAGGCCCATTTCATGTTTCCACGTAGGCTTCATACGTGGGCTGGGTTTTCAATCATAACTTTGGCCCATACATGAGAAACTTCATCTGATCTGTTGGAAAAGTGAATGACTTCTCTTTCGGCTGACTTGAAGCAGAAGCAAGGCTCTTAATGTGTTCCATTTTGGATCCGATCCAATCCAAAGTAGAAAAGTAGAAAGGGCTCAGAGAAATTTTTGGTGGAAGGGGAACAAGGACAAGGACATGGGGCACAATATCTCATGGAGCAAAATTTGCCGACCAAAAACTTGGGGGGTCTGGGAATAAGGAAACCCTGAAGCCAAGAACAAAGCTTTGTTCTCAAAGTAAAAGCAAATATGGAGACTGCTTTCTTGCAAAAACCAATTGTGGGCAGAACTGATCAAAGACAATAAATACCTGAGAAACAAAAGTCTGTTTGGGTGCAAAGTAAGCAATCAGACTCAACATGGTGGAAACCAGTGATCAAATTAAGGGGGCGTTTTTTTTTTGGATTTTGAGAGGGGGAAGGTTGGTTAATGGGACTTTGGTTCCCATTGACCAAGAATTCCATGTTCTTTTTTCAGATTTATGTGGGGACCAGGGAAAGTTTATTTTCTTGGGTATACTTACTCGGGTAAGTGGTACCCATCTACTAGGTGGGTAAATAACTTTTCCACCTAGAGGGAAAGTTGCCAACACTTGAGTAGGACAAAAATGCCCTTTTTAATTATGGATTTTTATGGCTAAAATGGTCATTGCCTTATTTACATGAGAAATAAAAGAACATGCACTTACCCGGGTAAGTATTCCTTGGAAAAACTTACCCAAGTAATTGCATTTACCGAGATAAGTAACTTACTAAAAAGCGAACGAGGCCTAAAAGTAAAATAGAGAGTTCATGCTGCTGGAAAGTAAGTACAGGCCAACAAATTAATGCTATCCATGATCCGTGGGTTCCTTGGATTGCAGAAAATAAACCTGAAGGAAGGAGTAGGAGTGGCTCCAAATCTAAAAGTTAGAAACTTGATTAAGGAAGATGGCAGCTGGGAAATGAAAAAACTAGAATGTCTCTTTGAGGAACCCTCTGTGAGGGATACTGTTAATATCCCCTTTGGTGCGTGCCTTGGAAAGGGATGATAGGCTCCTCTAGAAGCATACCTCAAAGAATATTTTCACCGTGAGCTTATAGACAGTTCAGTAGACCAGCTTGTGAACCTTCAAACTCACATGTAATTTGGAAAAAAAATTGGGAACTGAAAGTCCCCTATAGAGGTCAAATCTTAATATGGTAATACTACTTAGGGATAGTAAAAGCAAAATTAGCATGCTGGGTGTGAAGGAAAGAAGGTGATACAAGTTGTACTTTCTATAACTCAGCCCTAGAATCACAAGAGCACCTCTTCTTTGAATGTAGTTTCTCTGAAGATGTTACGATCCATTTGTTCCATATTGGTAGTATGGGATGCTAATGTGAGGTATCCCACATCAGTAGTATGGGATGTTGTTGTGGGGTATATATGTGCTTGGGTTCCCTCCCTCTAACAACTAGCTTTTAGGGGTGAATGCTCCTAAGGCACATAACAAATGGTATCAAAGCCGATGGATCTCAGGGATTCAAGAAGGGCAGAGCTTGAAGTTCATCTTAGTTGTATTAAGAAGAACCAAGAGTGGATTTGGGCTCGTCTGGCAAAGATTGAAGACAAGCTCAACCAGATTTCACCTCTAAAGGGTGAAGCAACAATAGCCAAGACCGTCCCCAGGGAGTTACCAAAATGTGTTGAGACTTCAAATGTTATGATTCATTAGTCCCACATCGGTAGTATGGGATGCCATTGTGGGGTGTATATGTATCTGGGTTCCTTCCCTCTAACAGCTAGCTTTTAGGGGTGAGTTCTCCTAAGCCACATAACAGATGGTATCAGAGCCTACACTATGCCTCCCAATTGCAATCGTGTGGCGCAGGTGATGACATCGGTATTGCAATGTTCTGCCGGGACTAGGGGTAGCACAAAACCAACCTGCGTGAACGCTAGGACTGCGGAGCGTGGTGGAATATTACAATTCATTAGTCCCACATCAGTAGTATGGGATGTCATTGTGGGGTGTATATGTGTTTAGGTTCCCTCCCTCTAACAGCTAGCTTTTAGGGGTGAGTTCTCCTAAGGCACATAACATCGAATCTAGCTTCGAACTCTCTAGACTCTATTGGCAAGGCAACAACGGTGATTCCTAAGGGCAATAGAGGCGTGATGTCGAAACACAACCGGTGAACCTCCCCTCCTAAGGAAGAGTTGCAGGTTGTGCCAAGACCAGAAGCCTTTGTTTGGGAAACAATGGTTGTGGTTCAAAAGGGTAGTGTGAAGGCCACCGTACCCCCTATTGAGGTCGAACAACCTCTAAACCCTTATCCATCCATCATCCCGTCCATGGCTATCACTACTACCCAACCCCTAATCGCAATTTCCCTTCTTGAAGACAACACCCATCTATCCAAACTCCATCAACTTTACCACATCACCCTTGCTTTTCTCTCCATGTCACTCCCCTTTCTTACCACTTCCTACCTACACTACCATATTCTATGATTTCAACCTTCTTCTTAGGGTCGAATAGTCACCACTTCTAACACCAACAACAAAGGTGCGACACTATTCTCCCCTGTTTTTAGTGTCAATTGTCATGTCTCTTCCATGCACAACCCAACACATGAAGGGAACTACAGCTGGGACACTACAAATCCTAGAAATGCAAACAGAAAAGTCAGAGAAGAACATGAACCAAATTGAAGAATGCAATGCTCTCCTAATTCTAGTTTTGGTGCTTAGGTCTAAAGATGTTGATATTCATTGGGGGATGGCTCTACTACTATGACGAATTTTTGCAACAAACTCACATTTTTATGAGGCACATATGGGACTGAGGGGTGTTCATTTTTCAATTCAGATATTTCAACCCCTAAATATCCAACTTTTGAAGTTGTTTGTGTTGACCCTAGGAAGAATTGCAGACTATGAGGGAAATGTTTCTAATTTCATCAAGGCTGGAGGTATTCAGAAGATACTATAGGGAGAGATAACTATTCAAGATTTTGTAGAAAACAACTTGAAGAAATTAGAGGGGAAGAATAGACTCGACTTTGAAACCTTGATACTAGTAGAGAGTGTGAGAACTTATAAAGCCATTTGGGGGCATTGAGAAGTTCTCTACTATAGGTTTCTCAATGCTAGCCTTGAGGACAAGGCTACTCCCAATGAGGTGGAGATGTTACGTGTATTAACCAAACCACCCAGAAAAAAGGGCACCCTTGCATCGATCACATTTCTGATTCTCATGGTAGCTGGCATGGCCCATGCACCAATTACGACAAATGTAGTTATGGGAGTTGAAAAATAAATAAAGAATAGAAAAGACTAAATAAATTATGAATGGTTTGATCGAAATGAAGAACCATTAGAACCCTGTATATTTATAGATGAAGAAGAACAATTTGAGTACAACACATAGTTGGAGAGAGTCAGATAATAGTGAACTCTATCAGATAGAGTTTATCTTAGGTATGAACTCTATGTGATAGGATCTATCTAGTTAGTTGAGTTCTATCTTAATCGAGATAGAGATACATCTGTAGATGGAGATCTATCTGATGACATGTCAGCATCTAATGATGTGGCAGTATGATTATCCTCAATAAGCCCCTCAAGCGAATGGGCATTGGGAGCACATGCAGCTTGTACATAATAGAAGAAAACTGAGGGGAAGCCAACGACTTGGTGAAGATGTCAGCTAGCTGATGCAAGGACTGAACATGGTGAAGCTGGAGAGACTTCTTGAGAATGTGATCTCATAGGAAATGAAAATCAACTTCTATATGACGAGTTCGAGCATGAAAGATGGGATGAGAGCAAGATAATAGGCTCCAACATTATCATAGTAAAGTGATGGAGTAGATGGGAGTTGAATTCTAAGATCCTGGAAGAGAGACTACAACCAAATTAATTTGGTAGCAGTATTTGCAAGAGACCTAAACACTGCTTGTGTACTTGATCTAGCAACAATCTATTACTTCTTAACACTCCAGCTAACTAGATGAGAATGAAGATAAATATAGTAGCCGCTAGTGGACCTGTGGTCATCAAGGCACCCCCAGCCCAATTAGGATCAAAGAAAGCCATGAGACTGGTGGTGGATTGAGAGGAGAAGAATAAAGCGTGGTCTAGGGTATATTTGAGATACCGAAGAATACGCTTAACTGCCACCCAATGTTCATCTATGGGATTGTGTAAGAACTGACAAGCCTTGTTGACTACAAGACTGATGTCAGGGCGAGTGAGAGTGAGGTATTGCAATCCTCCCATAATACTCTTGTAGAGAGACGGGTCAGAGAGAGGAGACTCATGAAGTCTAGAAAGTTTAACACTAGTTTCCATAGGAGTAGAGAGGGGTTTCGCACCATCAAGACCAACACGGTGATGCAGATCAATAATATACCGACGCTGGTAGAGATAAAGTCTAGTGTGATCCCTGTAAGCTTCAATACCCAAAAAATAGTGGAGGTCACCAAGGTCCTTGAGGTGAAACATTCCACTTAGTTTGGAAATAACAGATTTGATAATATCTGAGAAAGTGCCAGTGAGTATAACATTATCCACATATAACAACAAGTAGATATGGTGAGCACCATGGGGATAAATAAAAAGAGAGGGATTACAACTAGAGGTACGAAATCCCAATTCAACAAGCTTAGAGCTGAGGCGTGAGAACCAAGCTCGAGGAGCCTATCGAAGCCCATAGAGGACCTTGGACAACTTACATACATGATTGGGCCGATCTACATTCTCAAAACCCTTAGGTTGTCGCATATAAATGTTCTTAGTAACAAGACCATTGAGAAAGGCATTATCAAAGTTCAATTGTTGAATAACCCACTAATGGGAAACCACAAGAGAGAGGA